AGTGTAAATAGACACTCCGAAAAAAAAATCCATAAACGCTTATAATACGTGTATCTGGCAACTCGATTGAGGCTGAGCCCGCGTCCTCAATCACAACTCGCTCAAGGGACGAGGCCATGTAACCTTTTCACGATGATAATATATATATTTTTTAATCCAAATAGCTTGCTGAAATACTTATGCGGCCGCCTCATCTACGTCAGCCATGCTGATCATGACCTGTCCCGGTGACCCTGATCGCGCCTGACCTGCCTTCCGTTTCCATTATACTCCTTCCGTTTCCATTATACTCCTTCCGTTTCCACTATACTCCTTCCGTTTCCACTATACTCTCTCTCACACATACATACATTCTTCTCTTACATACACATATTTTCTTCAGACATACATACATTCTATATGTATGTGAAAGGAGAATGTATGTGTGCGAGAGTAGAAATGTATGCATGTGAAAGGAGAATGCAAGTATGTGAAAGCAAGAATATATGTATGTGAAAGGAGAATGTAGGGTGTGTGAGAGTGCCAGAATGAATTATGGCTTGTACGGCCCCTCATAAAAGTAAACAACGTATCCGCGTACATCTTTGATTTAAACATTTAAAGCAGCATTTACACTGAAGTTTTCTATTGAAGTTTAATCTTTAATCTGTTTTATTAATATTTCTTTCTTTCTAACAACAACAACAACAACGATAAATGTTCTTTCTTTCTGTAAAAATATATTAATAACAACAACAACAGTATGTTATTATTATTATAAAAGAAAGAAATTAAGAAGGTTAGAAAGATTCAACCTAAACAAAAAATTAAAATTGAATTTCTGCTCTAAATGTGTAAATCAAAATGGTGCAAAGTTTACATTTAATAACAACAACATTAATAACAGTAATAAATTAAATAAACGAGCAAATATTTCATTTGTTTGTTTATGATTACTTTCTTTCCTAATCATCACAAAGCCTCTTTTTATACCGCGTACAAGTAGTATAGACTATTTTTATGGTGTCATTTTGTAGCAGACATGGTCACTTCAAATTAGTTGACCTTGACCATATTTAACTCCTCTTCTGTTCTTTTCTCTCAATTCTCCATTCTACATGCACCTCACTCTTTTCCTCTGTTCTCCTCCCTCCCTTTCTGCTTTCTCCATCACTTTCCTTTTTTCTAAGACTCAATAATTGTGTCACATAGGGAACATAAGAGACAGAGAGAGATAGCAAAAGGACAAACAAAATAAATTTTTTCCCTCTTAATCTTCACACAAACAGTCGCTGATCTCCAGGGCTGCAGGCTGAAATTTTTCTCAGTTATCCTTCTCTTATTTGTTTATGATGTCTCCATCACACAGCATTAGTCCACAACAAAGAAATCAAAACACAAGCCATGGTCTCCGAGTTAATTTTAAACTGTCACATTCAGTGCCGCTAAAACACAGCAGGTCAGTCCTGAGCATATGTTAATACATTCAACAACACTGGCATTGTACACTCTTAAAAATAAAGGTGCTTCACGATGCCACAGAAGAACCTTTTTGTCTAAATGGTTCCATAAAGAACCTTTAACATCTAAAGAACCTTTCTGTTTCACAAAAGGTTCTTTGTGGCGAAAGAAGGTTCTTCAGATTATAAAAAGGTAAGAAAGAGATGGTTCTTTAAAGAACCTTTGACTCAATGGTTCTTTGTGGAACCAAAAATGGTTCTTCTATGGCATCGCTTGAAGAACCTTTTGAAGCACCTTTATTAAGGGACCATCCATACAGGATGTGTTGTTAATATGCTAAAAAAAAACAGCTAGACAGAGGCCCAGTGGAATAAAAAAAAAGAGCATGATGCATTTTACTCATTAAATATGTCAGTAACACTTTAGTTTAGGGACCACTTCTCACTATTAATTAGTCGCTTATTAGCATGCATATTACAAGCATATTGGCTGTTTATTATTACTTACAAAACCTTATTCTGCATGAACATATTTTAGATCCATTAATCCATCCCCATACATAAGCTTAAAGGGATAGTTCACCCAAAAATGACAATTCTGTCATTAATTACTCACCCTCATGTCGTTCCAAACCTGTAAGGTCTTCGTTCATCTTCAGAACACTGTCTATGGAGGGTCAGAAAGCTTTCGGATTGCATCAAAAATATGTTAATTTTTGTTCCGAAGATGAACGAAGGTCTTACAGGTTTGGAACAACATGAGGGTGAGTAATTAATGACCGAATTTACATTTTTGGGTGAACCATCCCTTTAACTACCTTACTAACTATTAATAAGCAAAAAAATTAGGAGTTTATTGAGGCATTATTAATTGAGGCATCATGATGAGGCATCAATCCATCATGATTTCATAGAAAAACTATAAAAAATGTATCAAGACCTGTTACAACGGTCACAGATGTCCATTTAGCACTTTTCATATGAAACAATTACAAACCAGCGAGACACGTCACAACGGTCAAAGACATCCTTATTGCATACAAAAACAATTTTTAAATGGTGAGTTTCGCAAATGAGTTGCAGGTTTGTAACCTGCAGTCTAACTTATTTTCATAGAAACATTTAAAACCCAGCAAGATGTTTTAAAATGGTCAAAGACATTCTAGTATGTTATCAAAGAAAAAAAATTTACAAAGCGGACAGATGCAAAAATGCATCCTGGGTGAACGGCCCCTATAACATGCTCAGACAAAGACATGCACATGCATACAATATGTTTACTCTTCAAAAACATGCAAACAGAGCAGGAATATCATGCGCTGAAAGATGGAAAACGTGGAGAGAGATGAAGCACAAGATGAAAAGATGTCACACCTTCCACACCAAGAAACCAAATGACTCCTCAGCAGAAACGAATGAGGTGTGGAAGCTGACCTGATGACACAGATGAAATGACAAAGGTGATGATGGTCGTGCTTATAAAGAGAGGAGAAGTCTCTCTCCTACCTGTAAAAACTGGCAGGTTCGTCCCTGCTGGCAGGTCTGTGCTTTGACTAGAGCTTTATCGATATTGACAGTGGCCTTCTGGTACACCTCTCGGGCCCTGCTCACCGTTAGTGTGCTTGACCAGGAGCTCTTCTTGACGAGCGGCCCAGCCTGGTCTACTGACATCGGGCCTCTGAAGGTCAGAGCGCCTCCTGTGGGGTTGGAGCAAGTGGAGCAACTTCCAACGTCATTGTTGCTTCGTGAGGTCTTCAGGGACGAGTGTCCCCCTCCTAGTGTGTTGTAGCTCTGTCCCAAGAAGTAGTGGGACTGGGATTTGTCCGGATGCCGGCCCATGGTCATGACTCCTGAGGGTTGATGCTGGTGGTAAAGGCAGATCTCCCTGTCTAGAGTGTCGTCGGAGCTCCAGTAACCCGACCCGGGTGTTCGTGCACGAGGTTTGGGCTCGGAGCGACTGCGTTCCTTGTTTTTCCCCCGCTTGTTGCTGGACGACTTGTGCAGGGTGCCTATAGTTGTGGTGGAAACATTCGGATGGGATATAGCCGTAGCCATTGCATTGGCTGGGATGGCGGGGTCGTTTCCGTTGAGGCTGCGTTGACTGGGACCTTCCAGGGAATGGGACTTGGTGAATAGTTTTTGGACGGAGTGTACGAGGTGGCGTATACGCCCAGGACTGTCACTGCGCTGGTGCTCCAGCGCCGCAGTCCGTTTGTATTGCAACGTGTGATACCCATCCTTTCTCACTGGTTGCTGCTGGTCAAACTTCTCCAGCAGGGATGATGGGATGGCAGCCGAGCTGCATGGGCCGCACCCACCCCCAGTTCCTCCGGCTATGCCCCCCGGTCCCACATAGGGCACTATGGCGCATTCGTCCTTAAGCTCGTGATGCGAGCCGTAATGTCGACGTGGAAATGTGCTGCTGGCCAGATCAGACTGGCATCCATAGAAGCTGTGGTCGGTCGGGTGGGCCTGGTTAAGGACATAAGGCCGTCGGTCGTGGCGGAGGGTCAAAGACTCGTAGGATGGGTCGCAGTGTGTGAGTGTGTGGTGGTGGCTGCGGCTGGAGGACAAGCCTTTCATCGTCATCCTGATACACTCACCCTCTCACAGCCTCATCCACACACAACACTGAGTCTACTGCAGAAAGACAGATAGACAAAGAGACAAGAGGGCCAGAAAGCAATATAGAGGACGAACAAATTAGGTGAAACAACGAAAAAAAGAGGAACACAAGGAGAGAGAAACAAATAAAGAGAGGGAGAGAAAGAAACAATATGCATTAAACATGGTCACATTTAGTTCATATTTTAAACCTCATAGTGTCCACTATAATGGACTGTCCTTAAAAAACATTTAAACATTCACTAATATGGGTCTGACTTATACTAAAGAGGTACTAAACTTTTAAAATTGACTAGTTAGTTGGTTGCCTAAACGAATAGTGGATTAATCTGTCTCAACTGGACATCTTGTATAAGTAGACTGGTGTTGGAGTCACCTGACCCCAAGCATTTACATAAGATGTGTCTTGTTTTCAAAAACAGCTAGACAGAGCGCACTGGACTGGAACAGAACACTGGATTCTCATGACACAATTTTAAAAATTTGACTATTTTTAACTTGACATGCTGTCTTAATGCAACACTTGCACAAGAATGCACAAGAAACAACATGAGATTTGACAGAATGGCCAAACATGTCTGTCTGAATGTGTATGGCTTTAGCAGCAGTGCTTTTAAGGGGATATATTTAAAGACCAAGCAGAGCAAACTGTTGGCATGCTAATTACAGGATAGACATTAAAAAATACATTTTGAAAAAAATCGGAATAATTGATGACTAGTCACTCATAATTCTGCACTACTTTTCAAAAGTTTGGGGTCAGTAAAGTTTTTTTAATTATTATTATTAAAAATAATTCATATTTGTCGGCGCCGATAGCCTTGTGGGCAGCGAGCAGACATATGGCGCAGTTGCTCTTCAGGTGTCCCGAGATCAAATTCCCACACCAATCTCTCTCCCACTCACTTACTGTCATATGTCTACTGCCCTGTTAAGCAAAAAAACGCCAAAAATAATCATATTTTGATTCAGCAAGGATTCATTAAATTGATCAAAAGTGACATTAAAGAAAAAATCATCATATTAGAATGATTTCTGAAGAATCATGTAACTCCGAAGACTGTAGTAATAGCTGCTAAAAAAAATTTGCTTTGACATAACAGGAATAAAATACATTTTAAAATATATTAAAATAGAAAACTTATTTTTAATTGTAATAATATTTCACAATATTAATGATTTTACTGTATATATGAATAAATAAAGACTGCCTTTGTGAGCATAAGAGGCTTCTTTAAAAAAAAGCTTTTAAACATACTTGACTGCCCTCATATGAAAACAAAACTTTAAATTCCAAAATCAATGCTCATTCAGAATGATTGACTTTCAGTCACTCTGTCGATGCAAATTGCCATGAGCGTGAACGCCCCTTTAAAACAGAACAGTAAACGCAATAGTGATTAGCACACCAACATTAGCATGTGAAAAACCTCTCCAGATATGCCTCGCCAAATCTGAAGAAAGACAGAGATGAAAGGAGCGAAAGATGAAGCCAAAGACAGATTAAGACTGAAAGAAAGGAATTGACGCATTTTGCTGTTTATTCAGCTATATCCTGTTTACTGTGTCAAAATGAGAAATCAGCCGTTCATGCTTGAAGTCATTTGTAAGACTGTGAATTCATTAAGAGCATTTACCAAAAGATCAATGACTGTACTGAGATCAATGCCATCCAGTGAGATGGATGCTTATACAGTGCATGAGCATTCAGCATACGCTACTTTAACTACCAAACAGCAAAAAAAGGGACCAGTAAGATTTTATTTGTATGATTATTTTTTTTTAAGTAATTAATACTTTTAATGAGCAAAAATACATAAAAAATACATTGATTAAAAGTCAAAGAAAATACAATTATGTATATGTGAAAAACCTCTCCAGGCATGCCTCGCCAAATCTGAAGAAAGACAGAGATGAAAGGAGCGAAAGATGAAGCCAAAAACAGATTAAGACTGAAAGAAAGGAATTGACGCATTTTGCTGTTTATTCAGCTATATCCTGTTTACTGTGTCAAAATGAGAAATCAGCCGTTCATGCTTGAAGTCATTTGTAAGACTGTGAATTCATTAAGAGCATTTACTAAAAGATCAATGACTGTACTGAGATCAATGCCATCCAGTGAGATGGACGCTTATACAGTGCATGAGCATTCAGCATACGCTACTTTAACTACCAAACAGCAAAAAAAGGGACCAGTAAGATTTTATTTGTATGATTATTTTTTTTAAAGTAATTAATACTTTTAATGAGCAAAATTACATAAAAAATACATTGATTAAAAGTCAAAGAAAATACAATTATGTATATATGTATGAATGTACTTGTATAACACTGTTACAAAATATTTCTATTTCCATTTATTTTATTCCTCAGAAAATTGTGCAAACATTACTAGTAATGTAGGGAATACCAAGTACACGCATTCTGAAATGATATGCATTATAAGAAAAGACATTCACCCACATATTAAAGCTAAACACACATACAAAGATTATTAAACCCGTTATCTTCTAATGAATCTCATATACCACTTCCTTATGCTTTGTGGTGACTCCTGCCTGACATTTCATTTCATTTCCTGATTATTTCTTGAGACTGATAAATAATCCATAGCGTCAGTGATTCTGATGAAATCTTCATAGCTGATATCATGGCATGCGTTATCTTAATGCATGAGCTGCTATGTGAACGAGTTGCTCAAATGTTGTATTCTTGGCTGAAAAATAGCTTGATGTGTGTGTCGTTCCCCAGAGGAGATATATTTCTTTGCTTTCTTTTTCTTAGTGAGGCAGATATAACTCTGAAAATAAAAGTAAAATGAAAATGTGTCTCAGTTGCATTCGTCTGTACTTCTTAGTTGAGGTAGGACACAAACACACACAAAGCGAAAGAAAAGATATTTAAGATTAAGATATTAATATAACTTACAGACTCTATCAAGCTCCAAAAAGAACAAAAATATCATTAAATTGATCCTGAAAGTAGTGTATAACAGCTTATAATGCACTATATTTCAAGTCTTCTTAAGTCAAATGCTAGTCAAAGAAACAGACTGAATTTAAAACGAAATTCACTGGAAAACTTCAACTAGAGAACAAATCATTGACATCAAACCTGATGCAACATGTCTTGAGGGGCCAGATTTGAATGTATGCAGTGACAAATGAGATTTATTGAATAAAGACCACCAAATGTTTAAAAACAGCATCTCTGTGTATGTGTGTGTAAAAGCATGTGTGCTTGATACCTCCACATAATGACTTATATCTGAATTGTTGTGTAAGGCTGAGTTCATTCATTGCCCCCTGAAGCCTTTCAGATGTATCCTAGTGGAACTTGCTCTAAATTAGACTGAGTGGAAATCCATAAATAAAGTTGCTCATCTTGTACTTTCTTCTGCAGCCCAACTCTCACTAGAGCATCACAATTCTTCTTCACTCTCTATTAATTACATTCATTGTCCATGCTCCAATTGATTGGTGGTGTGGCAAAGTCATACTTAGGGTTAGGAAAAAAACATGAGCATCAAGTATTAAAGTACTCACCCTACAGTACTCTCGACATGAATGATGATTCAAATCATGTGGGTTTTTTTAAAAGAGGTATCCAATTACCTTTCTAAGCCATTAGAATTATAATTTTCACCTGCCGCATGATAAAAATAACATCAATGCTCTTGTAACCACTAGAACACCCTAGCAATGACATAGCCAACACATTAATAACTAAGAACATCTTGCTTCAGTTAAACATTTCCTTCTTGAAATGACTTTATTTTCACGCCTCTCTCAGTTTCGTTCTTTAGCTGACCCTTCGTTCCTCCATCTCATTTTTCTCTCTCTCTTTTGCTTTGATTGAAGTGTGCTTTGAAACACAATCAAATCGTGCTGACAGATGACACGACAGCCGAGAGTTTCTCTCTCTGGGCTAAACGAATTACGCTGTCTGTCATTAATGATAGCAGCACCACGTAACTCTTTGATTACACACTGTGACGAGTGGGGCGGGGCCGAGAGCCGTGGGAGCAGAGCAAGGCCGGTGGAGTTTATTGGTAATGAGCGACACTTGCGCCACTCACCGTCTCGAGTCCCACGGAGGAGCTCCGGAAGGATAAATGGAGGAGTGACGACAGTGGAAGACGAGAGAGGACCAGGCCTGGACTTTATTTGTGTTTTGTGTGCGGCAGTCGTCTGTGAGGGGCTGCCGCTTTACATTTGTGTTTGTTTATTTTGTTATTAAATGGTTTAAATGTTCGGCGGTTCCCGCCTCCTTCCTCCCGTATCTACGAACTGTGTTACATTGGTGCTGAAACCCAGGAGGAAGGAGGGACACGCTGTCAGAAGAGCCCTTGCTGCTGAGGGGGATCGCGGTGCTGAGGAGGTCGGGTAGCATTAAGGAGCGGAGATAAATGGAGGAGTGACGACAGTGGAAGACGAGAGAGGACCAGGCCTGGACTTTATTTGTGTTTTGTGTGCGGCAGTCGTCTGTGAGGGGCTGCCGCTTTACATTTGTGTTTGTTTATTTTGTTATTAAATGGTTTAAATGTTCGGCGGTTCCCGCCTCCTTCCTCCCGTATCTACGAACTGTGTTACATTGGTGCTGAAACCCAGGAGGAAGGAGGGACACGCTGTCAGAAGAGCCCTTGCTGCTGAGGGGGATCGCGGTGCTGAGGAGGTCAGGTAGCATTAAGGAGCGGAGACCGCCAGTGGCTGCCCGAGGCAGTGGTGCTGGAGCGACTGTGCAACAGGTGGGACGGGAGGCTCTCTGCCGTACTCTGGGGTCGAGGAGGGGTGGCTGCCGTCCGAGAGGGAGCGGAGGAGTCAGCGCCGTTCGCCAGGAGGCCGGAGCCTGCTGCCGTCCGCCATGTTTGAGGAGGAGCAGGGAACAGGGACTTGCTGCCGGCTGCCCTCAAACCGGAGGAGCCATCACCGTCCGCCAGGAGGCGGAGGAACGTCGAGCCATCCACCAGAGAATGTCCAGTACCATCGCATGGCACTGCGATAGAGAGCCTCTCA